TCACTGCCTAGTGTGTCATCATGTCATATGTGATGTCTCACTGCCTAGTGTGTCATCATGTGATGTGTGTTGTCTCACTGCCTAGTGTGTCATCATGTGATGTGTGTTGTCTCACTGCCTAGTGTGTCATCATGTGATGTGTGTTGTCTCACTGCCTAGTGTGTCATCATGTGATGTGTGATGTCCTCCACTGCCTAGTGTGTCATCATGTGATGTGTGTTGTCTCACTGCCTTGTGTGTCATCATGTGATGTGTGTTGTCTCACCGTCTAGTGTGTCATCATATGATGCATGTTGTCTCACCGCCCAGTGTGACATCATGTGATGTGTCATGTCTCACCGCTCTTGTGTGTCATCATGTGATGTGTTGTCTCACTGTCCAGTGTGTCATCATGTGATGTGTGTTGTCTCACTGTCTAGTGTGTCATCATGTGATGTGTGTTGTCCTCACCGTCTAGTGTGACATCATGTGATGTGTGTTGTCTCACTGCCTAGTGTGTCATCATGTGATGTGTGTTGTCTCACTGTCTAGTGTGACATCATGTGATGTGTGATGTCTCACTGCCTTGTGTGTCATCATGTGATGTGTGTTGTCTCACTGCCTAGTGTGTCATCATGTCATATGTGTTGTCTCACTGCCTAGTGTGTCATCATGTCAGATGTGTTGTCTCACTGACTAGTGTGTCATCATGTGATGTGTGTCTCACTGCCTAGTGTGTCATCATGTCATGTGTGTTGTCTCACTGTCTAGTGTGTCATCATGTGATGTGTGATGTCTCACTGCCTTGTGTGTCATCATGTCATATGTGTTGTCTCACTGACTAGTGTGTCATCATGTGATGTGTGTCTCACTGCCTAGTGTGTCATCATGTCATGTGTGTTGTCTCACTGTCTAGTGTGTCATCATGTCATGTGTGTGTCTCACTGCCTAGTGTGTCATCATGTCATGTGTGTTGTCTCACTGTCTAGTGTGTCATCATGTCATGTGTGATGTCTCACTGCCTTGTGTGTCATCATGTGATGTGTGTTGTCTCACTGCCCAGTGTCATCATGTCATCATGTGATATGTGTTGTCTCACTGCCTAGTGTGTCATCATGTCATATGTGTTGTCTCACTGACTAGTGTGTCATCATGTGATGTGTGTCTCACTGCCTAGTGTGTCATCATGTCATGTGTGTTGTCTCACTGTCTAGTGTGTCATCATGTCATGTGTGTTGTCTCACTGTCTAGTGTGTCATCATGTGATGTGTGTCTCACTGCCTAGTGTGTCATCATGTCATGTGATGTGTGTTGTCTCACTGCTGCAGTGTGTCATCATGTGATGTGTGATGTCTCACTGCCTAGTGTGTCATCATGTCATGTGTGTTGTCTCACTGCCTAGTGTGTCATCATGTCATATGTGTTGTCTCACTGCCTAGTGTGTCATCATGTGATGTGTGTTGTCTCACTGACTAGTGTGTCATCATGTGATGTGTGATGTCTCACTGCCTAGTGTGTCATCATGTGATGTGTGTTGTCCCACTGCCCAGTGTGTCATCATGTGATGTGTGATGTCTCACTGCCTAGTGTGTCATCATGTGATGTGTGTTGTCTCACTGCCTTGTGTGTCATCATGTGATGTGTGATGTCTCACTGCCCAGTGTGTCATCATGTGATGTGTGATGTCTCACTGCCCAGTGTGTCATCATGTGATGTGTGTTGTCTCACTGCTCTAGTGTGTCATCATGTGATGTGTGTTGTCTCACCGCCTTGTGTGTCATCATGTGATGTGTGATGTCTCACTGCCTAGTGTGTCATCATGTGATGTGTGTGTCTCACTGCCTAGTGTGTCATCATGTGATGTGTGATGTCTCACTGCCTGTGTGTCATCATGTGATGTGTGATGTCTCACTGCCTAGTGTGTCATCATGTGATGTGTGTTGTCTCACTGCCTAGTGTGTCATCATGTGATGTGTGTTGTCTCACTGCCTAGTGTGTCATCATGTGGTGTGTGTTGTCTCACCGTCTAGTGTGTCATCATGTGATGTGTGATGTCTCACTGCCCAGTGTGTCATCATGTGATGTGTGTTGTCTCACTGCCTAGTGTGTCATCATGTGGTGTGTGTTGTCTCACTGCCTAGTGTGTCATCATGTGATGTGTGTTGTCTCACTGCCCTTGTGTGTCATCATGTGATGTGTGTTGTCTCACTGCCTAGTGTGTCATCATGTGATGTGTGATGTCTCACTGCCCAGTGTGTGTCATCATGTGATGTGTGATGTCTCACTGCCTAGTGTGTCATCATGTGATGTGTGTTGTCTCACTGCCTAGTGTGTCATCATGTGATGTGTGTTGTCTCACTGTCTAGTGTGTCATCATGTGATGTGTGTTGTCTCACTGCCTAGTGTGTCATCATGTGATGTGTGTTGTCTCACTGCCTAGTGTGTCATCATGTGATGTGTGTTGTCTCACTGCCTAGTGTGTCATCATGTGATGTGTGTTGTCTCACTGCCTAGTGTGTCATCATGTGATGTGTGATGTCTCACTGCCTTGTGTGTCATCATGTGATGTGTGATGTCTCACTGCCTTGTGTGTCATCATGTGATGTGTGATGTCTCACTGCCTAGTGTGTCATCATGTGATGTGTGTTGTCTCACTGCCTTGTGTGTCATCATGTGATGTGTGATGTCTCACTGCCTAGTGTGTCATCATGTGATGTGTGTTGTCTCACTGCCTTGTGTGTCATCATGTGATGTGTGTTGTCTCACTGCCTAGTGTGTCATCATGTGATGTGTGTTGTCTCACTGCCTTGTGTGTCATCATGTGATGTGTGATGTCTCACTGCCTAGTGTGTCATCATGTGATGTGTGATGTCTCACTGCCTTAGTGTGTCATCATGTGATGTGTGATGTCTCACTGCCTAGTGTGTCATCATGTGATGTGTGTGTCTCACTGCCTAGTGTGTCATCATGTGATGTGTGATGTCTCACTGCCCTGTGTGTGTCATCATGTGATGTGTGTTGTCTCACTGCCTAGTGTGTCATCATGTGATGTGTGTTGTCTCACTGCCTAGTGTGTCATCATGTGATGTGTGATGTCTCACTGCCTTGTGTGTCATCATGTGATGTGTGTTGTCTCACTGCCTAGTGTGTCATCATGTGATGTGTGTTGTCTCACTGCCTAGTGTGTCATCATGTGATGTGTGATGTCTCACTGCCTAGTGTGTCATCATGTGATGTGTGTTGTCTCACTGCCTAGTGTGTCATCATGTGATGTGTGTGTTGTCTCACTGCCTAGTGTGACATCATGTGATGTGTGTGATGTCTCACTGCCTTGTGTGTCATCATGTGATGTGTGTTGTCTCACTGCCTTGTGTGTCATCATGTGATGTGTGTTGTCTCACTGCCTAGTGTGTCATCATGTGATGTGTGATGTCTCACTGCCTAGTGTGTCATCATGTGATGTGTGTTGTCTCACTGCCTAGTGTGTCATCATGTGATGTGTGTTGTCTCACTGCCTAGTGTGTCATCATGTGATGTGTGATGTCTCACTGCCTAGTGTGTCATCATGTGATGTGTGTTGTCTCACTGCCTTGTGTGTCATCATGTGATGTGTGATGTCTCACTGCCTAGTGTGTCATCATGTGATGTGTGATGTCTCACTGCCTAGTGTGTCATCATGTGATGTGTGTGTCTCACTGCCTAGTGTGTCATCATGTGATGTGTGTTGTCTCACTGCCTAGTGTGTCATCATGTGATGTGTGTTGTCTCACTGCCTAGTGTGTCATCATGTGATGTGTGTTGTCTCACTGCCTAGTGTGTCATCATGTGATGTGTGTTGTCTCACTGCCTTGTGTGTCATCATGTGATGTGTGATGTCTCACTGCCTAGTGTGTCATCATGTGATGTGTGATGTCTCACTGCCTAGTGTGTCATCATGTGATGTGTGATGTCTCACTGCCTAGTGTGTCATCATGTGATGTGTGATGTCTCACTGCCTAGTGTGTCATCATGTGATGTGTGTTGTCTCACTGCCTAGTGTGTCATCATGTGATGTGTGTTGTCTCACTGCCTAGTGTGTCATCATGTGATGTGTGTTGTCTCACTGCCTAGTGTGTCATCATGTGATGTGTGATGTCTCACTGCCTAGTGTGTCATCATGTGATGTGTGTTGTCTCACTGCCTAGTGTGTCATCATGTGATGTGTGTTGTCTCACTGCCTTAGTGTGTCATCATGTGATGTGTGTTGTCTCACTGCCTAGTGTGTCATCATGTGATGTGTGTTGTCTCACTGCCTAGTGTGTCATCATGTGATGTGTGATGTCTCACTGCCTTGTGTGTCATCATGTGATGTGTGTTGTCTCACTGCCTAGTGTGTCATCATGTGATGTGTGTTGTCTCACTGCCTAGTGTGTCATCATGTGATGTGTGTCTCACTGCCTAGTGTGTCATCATGTGATGTGTGTTGTCTCACTGTCTAGTGTGTCATCATGTGATGTGTGATGTCTCACTGCCTAGTGTGTCATCATGTGATGTGTGTTGTCTCACTGCCTAGTGTGTCATCATGTGATGTGTGTTGTCTCACTGCCTAGTGTGTCATCATGTGATGTGTGATGTCTCACTGCCTAGTGTGTCATCATGTGATGTGTGATGTCTCACTGCCTAGTGTGTCATCATGTGATGTGTGTTGTCTCACTGTCTAGTGTGTCATCATGTGATGTGTGTTGTCTCACTGCCTAGTGTGTCATCATGTGATGTGTGATGTCTCACTGCCTAGTGTGTCATCATGTGATGTGTGATGTCTCACTGCCTAGTGTGTCATCATGTGATATGTGTTGTCTCACTGACTAGTGTGTCATCATGTCATATGTGTTGTCTCACTGACTAGTGTATCATCATGTGATGTGTGTCTCACTGCCTAGTGTGTCATCATGCGATGTGTGTGTCTCACCGCCTAGTTGCATCATGCGATGTGTGTGTCTCGCTGCCTAGTGTGTCATGATGTGATGTGTGTTGTGTTGCAGCCTGTTCGCCCAGCTGTGTAAGAAGCACAGTCGCCTGGTGGAGCAGATCCGCCAAGTTGGGTCCGGGGAGGTGGAGCAGGGTGATGATGAGGACTCGGAGCAGATCTTTGTGAGTACTTCAGCCTTCAGCACACCTGTAGACACAAGCTTGTACTGCCATATGGGTAGTACCATTGTTCATCAGGCTTTTATATCAAAAATTATTTAAGAAGTTGTCTTCATATTAGACACTCTGACTATGTTAGGATATTACTGTCAATTCTTTTACCTCAAATGGAATTTTCGCAGTATTACATCTGGTAACATAGTTTAAGTGTAATGTTCACTCAGCCTTTCTCATTCTACTTATCCCCTGCAAGGTGTAAGGATTACAGTATCCCTAAGTAATGCAGCTTGGACCATGGACCATGTTGTGTGAGACTGACCAATGGCTGGCAGGATCGTGATTAACCAATAGCGTGATTGATAGACCAGATATATTCTGGTGTCATGTTGACCTTGACCCAGACTACTCTGGTGACCTTGACTCAAACTACCCTGGTGACCTTGACCTAAACTAAACTGGTGACCTTGACCCATACCAACCTAGTGCCTTCTATGTTGCAGATGCAGGACATGACAGCCCTGCAGGAAGTGATCCGGATGGTGCTGGAGATCCTCAACTCCTGCCTCACAACCTCCCTCCACCACAACCCAAACCTCATCTACACCCTCCTGTACAACCGCAACCTGTTTGAGCAGTTCCACACGCACCCAATCTTCCAGGACATAATTCAGAACATTGACACGGTCAGTACAGTCTAATGATATGTAAACCTCATCCAGAAGACCTTACTTTGTCTCTCTGTTATCATGGCCTATTAGGCAGACTGGATGTCAATCTGTAGGCTGTCTGCTGCAAACTGACATGTGATTACTGTAGTCATAATGACTCCCTACTGTATACAGACTGTAATCTAGCTGTAGGCTGCCTATTGTATACATACTCTGTGATCTAGCTGCAGGCTGCCTATTGTATACAGACACTGATCTAGCTGTAGGCTGCCTACTGTATACAGTCTCTGTGATCTAGCTGTAGACTACCGTCTGTATGCACACAGTGATCTAGCTGTAGGCTACCTACTGTTTACATACTCTATAATCTTGCTGTAGGCTACCTACTGTATACATACTGTGATCTGGCTGTAGGCTGTCTACTGTATACATACTGTGATCTGGCTGTGGGCTGTCTAAAGGTATACATACTGTGATCTGGCTGTAGGCTGCCTATTGTATACATACTCTGTGATCTAGCTGTAGGCCACCTACTGTACGCAGACTGTGATCTAGCTGTAGGCTGCCTACTGTATACAATTTTCCTGACCTAGCATTAATGACTGCCTTCTGTTGCAGGTGCTGTCTTTCTTCTCATCAAGGCTGGAGCAGAATGGGAAGAATCTGTCCCCAGCAGATGTCCTTGAGTCCATCAAGGAAGGGGCGCTGCAGTTCCGCCGAGATAGATTGAAGGTAGTAGTTTGTGTCAGTTAGAACGTCCATATAATCACATCCCAGTGACATGGACCACTGTTCCTGTTGTTAACCAAACTGTGCCAGATCAGACTCACTCACTTGCAGGCCACTGTAGCTGGAACATCGCAGATTGTACTACTGCGAGTGAGTGAGTGAGTGAGTTTAGTTTTACACCGCTTTTAGCAATATTCCAGCAATATCATGGCGGGGGACACCAGAAAATGGGCTTCACACATTGTACCCATGTGGGGAATCGAACCCGGGTCTTCAGCGTGACGAGTGAACGCTTTAACCACTAGGCTACCCCACCGCCCTGGTTGTAGTACAGAGTACATGCTTGCTTGTGAATGAAGCCTTATCCTGCTTATCTGTGTTGTAACTCGATGATGGATCAACAGAATAAATGAAATAACTGCTTTTCTATACCTGTATTAGTTAAGAAGCATTTAGAAAAAATGAGCTGCCATCTTTATTGTTAGAATGTTTGGTAAAACTACCAGTTTTCATCTCTTTCTCCGCCTTCTGTCTGTAGAAGTTCCCCGAGCTGAAGTTCAAGTACGCGGAGGAGGACTCTCGAGGAGTTCTTCATCCCCTACATCTGGTCCCTCGCCTACCACTCCTCCAACATGTACTTCAACGCCACACGCATCGTGCTCTTTTCCCTCTCCGCTAACACCGAGTCCTGAGTCCAGCGGCACTACGTCAGGGAACACCATCCTCCTCCCCAGCGTCGTCGTGACATCCCCTGTGAGAAGTCATATCTGATATGTCTCGCTCACACCCATTCTAGAGTTACATTTTGAAATCTCAATGTTACTGTGTATTTAGAATATTTAGTGGGATGTTAAAATTACTCAAGGGCAAACAAATGTAAGACTGCTTTAGATGTTGATGAAAGTTGTTTATTGAAGATGTTGGGGTTATTATCGTGGTCATTAACTGACACGACTATGGTATCAGTCAAAGGTGACAGTCTTTGAAGGATTGTTTGACTCACCAGCAAACCTTGCTGGAATGTCCACATCAGATCTTGTAGGAGTGAGTGAGGTTTTACGTCGCTTTTAGCAATATTCCAGCAATATCACTGCGAAGGACACCAGAAATGGGCTTCACACATTGTACCCATGTGGGGAATCGAACCCAGGTCTTCGGTGTGACGAGCCAACGCTATCACCACTAGGCTACCCTACCTACCCAGATCCTGTAGGAATACAACAAGCCACTGGGCACAATAAAGAAACATGACACTTACATGACACATGTAGGACAACGGCTAGTGTAATTTTGTTTTGCTTGCATTCAGTTTTGGTGTCATTAAAGCCTGTGGTTGTTTCCTACAGGTTTCATTGGGTATAATTTGCACAAGAAAATACAATTAGGCATATTTCTGCAAAATGTGTAATTATGCAGACTTGAGTCTGCAACTTTTCCATGATCACAGAATAACATTCCTTCAAGGACTGACACCGTATTAGCTGTGGAGGATTCTGTGTATGCTGTGCCTTGAAGGTCTCCAGACACTGTAAAAACTGGCAGTGAGGCTCCACGAACAAGAGTTGTGAAATACTGGCAGTGTTGCAGATGATGTGGATCTTGCAGTGGGGGGATTCTGGCTTTAAAGGGACAGAACTTAGTTGTGGGATTACTGATGGTTGATGTGGAGTCGATTTGTATGTGTTTGTTCTGATGGTTTTATCTGTTCAAGGGAGGTAACCAAGCTTGACTGTGGTTCACTTTTGTTTTTGACTGAGGTTTTAAGCTGCGCTGTTGACATTGTTTTCTTTGTTTTGAATTATGGGGAGGGGAGCACAGTCACAAGTCTGACTATTACCAGGAGATTCCTTCTCTAGTCAGTGTCATACCAATACTGTGGATTCCACCTATGTCTGCTACACCTAAAACCAGCATCACCTTAAGCTTTCCTTCAATATTAAGCGGACATATCATGGGCGGATCCAGAGGGATCCCTGAGGAGCATTTCCCCCTAACCTTTGGACGTTATGATTTATGTGCACTACCACCACCACCCCACCACTACCACCACCACCCCCTCTTCTCCAAATTCCTGGATCCGCCCCTGCCTATGTTATTATTGGAAGCAGCATTAAATCCAGTTCACATAAAATAATAAGTCAGTCGGAAATATTATTCAATGCAAAAGTCGTTTAATATATTCCGAGAGAAACAAATATAGGATCACAGGAAAATTCAAGCGTTCCTTTAATATTTTCCAGTTCTCATCACCAGCTTTGAATAGCACTGTGGGAGGAAATCTGAGAATAAATAAAGGAACACTGTCATGACGTGGTGTTCCCTTATTTGTTTCCCTCAGTATATCATGGTTACTTAGAAATTCAAAAATGTGGCTTCATTTCCACATAAGACATAAGGTTTAATGTTTGTTTTTTATTGTGATCTCATGTTGTGTTCTGTTCCTTCAGTGAATCTATAAAACATTCTCAGGATGTCTCAGTCAAGTAAAGTACAAATCTGGGATATTCATTTGAAAATCGAGACACCTTGTTTATTGGACGTTAGTGCATGTGTACTTACAAGATGCATGGTTCAGGGATAAGGGCTGTCTTTATAACATTTGTCACAATTGTCAACAAGCATTTGTTATCATCATCATCATCATCATCATCATCATGTATGTTTTACTTGTTATCTGAACCCACAAGCCATATTTAAGGGTGTGACATAAGGAAAATTCATCGGTTCAAATTTAAGTCAAGACATTCACTTTTATTAATATTCTGATAATATATTTAGTTTCATGAGTCGAAGATTAATAGTCTTGTCTGTTTATGAGTGGAATTCTGCAAAAATAGGATGTTAATTACTGTATATTACCATAGATAAGCCGATCTCATCAATAAGCCAAGGTCCTAACTTGACCCTTAAAATCAGTATCAAAATGGTATGTTCCATAGATAAGTCGACCCCAAACTTTTGCTCATCCTTTCATTGTGATCAGTCTTCGGAAATAGTGTAAAAAAATCCATAATGAATTATGCAAGTTTATCCTCCGATATTTATAACATCGGTTGACATTATTCACAACAATCACTATCATATTGCCTCCGCCGCCATATAGCTGGAATATTGCTGAGTGCGGCATAAAACTAAACTCACTCACTCACTATCATATTGTGTCTACTCACGCCTCAAATGAAGTGTAGTTGACAGAAAATGTTTATGTATGAATATTTTGTTTCGCTAAGAGTCAGACTGCTTACAGTATTACTTTATTTGAATCCTCGCTAAAATATACAATCTCACTTTTTAATTTAAAGACAATTTTAATTATTTAGACGGGGAAAAAATCACTGGCCACCAGGACCGCTGCAAACTTATCATTAAGTGGTCCTGATGAATTTTTACTAGTCAGGGACCACAGGGCCAACGGAAATTTCACACACTGCTGCTTTGTTAGCTCGGCTTATCTACGGTAATTCACGGTGAGCATGTGTCAGTGTGTGTCATTGGAGATGTTGAGAGTGTTTTGCTGGGTCTAGGTCAGTTCAGTTCTTGTTTCCTCGCTGCAATTCAGAATGTTGTTTGGAATGAAATCTGGTCTATATTACAATAGGCATGCATGATGTGATTCAAATGTGGCGTGGATGTTCAGATGACACAGTAGTTGGTCTATTTATAGCAATGAATGTGATATGTAGCCAAACAGTTATTTTTTGTACTGTACATAATTCCTTTGACAGCTTACTGAACAACACTGCAGACTTGTACATATTTCTAGCACCTCTAGATGTTCTGACTTCAGCCGGACACATAACACAGGCTGACATGTGTCATGGGTTACTCTCACTCATGTGTCTGTGGTAGTATACTGAGAGAAACAAATAAAGGAACTCAGGAAAATTCAAGTGTTCCTTCAATATGTTCCTGTTTTCATCACCAGCTTTGAATAGCACTGTGGGAGGAAATCTGAGAATAAATATAGGAACACTGCCATGAAGTGGTGTTCCCTTATTTGTTTCCCTCAGTATATGTCTCAGAAATCATCAGTTTTACTTGTTTTGTTTTGTACATATTGGTTGGAGATTCATATTATATCAGAATGATCCCAGATCATGGGCCCTGTTTCACAAAGCTATCGTAGCACTACGACTGCCGTAAGTCTATGTTATAGTATAGGAGGTAAGACAGTCATAGCGCTACGATAGCTTTGTGAAACTTAGCCCTGGACAATTATCTAACGATTATTTACTAATCATCCAACAGTTCTGACAGTTGACTTTTGACACCAGGCTGTCATGTAGAGCGATGGGTGATTGACAGGGATGTGTGATTGTACATAGCAACAGGTGGTGTTACCATGGTTACATGCATATCTATTGTATATAGTATTGGTGTATATATTTCTTAAAGAGCTGCTTATTCTTCACCGTGGGCTGTTCTCTCATACTTATATAAAGGGACATAACTCTTTTTGTGTTTCTACCTGATTCTGCATTTTGTCGTAAGGTATATGAAGAGGGATTTAGATTAAGCAAGGAACATATGCTGATATATTTGAAACGTTTGCTTCAACAAAGATTGTATGCTGTGTGGTTCATTTTGCACAGTGGCAATTTTCTACAGTTTTGTGGTATTTTATTACAATTTGATCAAGATTTTATGGTATTCTGAACATTGCAGGACTTCTTTGTCTGGGGTAGAACTGAGATGTTCGGTCAAAGTTATGTCAGGACTTGTTTGTTGATGACGTACTGAGATGAGACACTGCCATGCTGTAAGGTTGTGCTGTTACCAGCTGTTGTTGTTACAGTGCCGTGTTAAAGTGTCTTTCTGTCCAGCTTAGGGTACAGGTTTTCTCAAGGGGGATTTCTCTTTTTTCTCCAGCTCACCTTACAATAATAATAATAATGAGAATATTGCACCTTTTCCAGGCTAATTGTCCTGCTCAAAGTGCACAATCTGATCATTATTACCCCGGATAACCCGAGCTGCTAGAAGGTTAATAATCTCACAACTTATTTCACTGGGTACCCTTTTTTTGCTGGGTGAACAGAGGCAATTTTAAACAAACTCACTTGCCTAAGGTGAGACCACATGCATCACATGAGCTTCATTCTGGGGCAGGACTAAAGTCATGGAAACTCTCAGGAGTGAAGCTGCCAAACACGGTCACCCATCCAAGTACTCTCCGCGCCCAGCGTTGCTTAACTTCACCTGATTTGTGACCTGAGCGAGTAAGTTGATGTTATCTCCATCATGGCACCTGTTCAGTGGCAGTGGTGTATGTAAACATTAGTTCCTTCACTGGACCAATGAGACTGTTCCAGAGATTTGCCGAATCCAACTAACTGGGACAGTCCTAGCATTGAGATCACTCAGAGGAACAAGTGCCTGCATAGATGGGATATGGTCCTGCCTTGTATCAGTTTGGAGGTTACCCCTAACAATTGTTGAGTCTGATAAAGTGAGGGTCTTGTGAATATACTTTAGAATAGACGTTACTTATGTATAATTTCTTTCTGTGACTGAAACAAGAATATTTTATTAAAATATTGCATTTTATGAAGTTTATCTCATAATTATTGTTGAATGACATGTACATCATGAAAGATTGTATTTAAATGGTATTTCGTACATAAAACAATATAAACCGAAATTGTGTTTGTTTTTGAAGACTTCAGTTAGTGCCAGTCTGTCAACATGTTATAGTTGATGAGTATTGCAAGGTGTTCAATATCTTCATTATTTTCATTATTAAATCACCCATGAAGATCCAGGTTAGAATTGGTCTTCAGTAACCCATGCTTGCAAGAGGTGACTAACGGGATCGGGTGGTCAGGCTCGCTGACTTGGTTGACACATGTCATCGTATCCCAATTGCATACATCGATGCTCTGGCTGTTGATCACTAGATTGTCTGGTCCAGACTCGATTATTTACAGACCGCCACCATATAGCTGGAATATTGCAGAGTGCAGCGTAAAACTAAACTCACTCACTCACTCCTGAATCCTGCTTCGTATTTGTCCCCTGCTATGCAATTCCAAGGTTCTGAAATTGACATGGTGACTCGGCTTATCACATGTCCATGTTCATGAGGCAGCTTATAATAGGTTGGGTTTTTTTTGTAATTTAAATTTTATTTCTGAATCCCTGTTACAGTCAAAACTAAGCAGCCAGGGGACAGCTCAGTCCGAAGATATTCAGTAATTTAATGGGATACAGGTGGATTTTTTTACGAAAAAAGACAATCCATTCACTCACCATTCACACAAGTACAAGATTATTTTTAATTATCAAACATATTAATAATGTAATTAATTCAGCCATCTTTGAATAAGCCATGATATAAGAGCCATTTCGAATAAAATTCGGTGTTACAGCTTTTGTTAAAGGAAATACATTTTTCAATACTATCTCAATCTCAACTCACTTCTGAACTGAGCAATATTTGGTAAAACAGAATTGAGCTTGCATTTGTAAAAATAATATTTTCCCAATTATATGAACAAGTCAAAAACAAGGTCAGTAAAAACATTTTTCTTACAGCCAAAAATGATCAGTTCTATAGTGAGATTGAGATCATGGATGTGGTCACAACCTTCTGTTAACCATGATAAAAAAATTGACCAAAAGGTTTGCACAAATTCACATTCCCATAACAAGTGACAAATAGATTCCGTTTCTTCATTACAGAATGAACATAAGTCAGAATCTTTTATTTTAACTTTTTTAAGAAACGTATTGGTAGTTTAAATTCTATATAGTATCCTGTACTGGAACCATCTCAATTTGGTGTCTTGTGTTGACTTAAACGATTTTAGGAAAGTACAGTTCCAGTCAAGACCACACTGAAAATCCTCTTGCCACTTTAACTGTGCTCTTGCGGTCCTATTTGAAGAACAAAGGATATAGTGAGTGAGTGAGTTGGTTTTATGCCGCTGTTAGCAATATTCCAGCAATATCACGGCGGTGGACACCAGAAATGGGCTTCACACATTGTACCCATGTGGGGAATCGAACCCGGGCCTTCGGTGTGACGAGCCAACGCTTTAACCACTATGCTACCCCACCGTCCCTAAAGGATTTAGTAATAGGCTTTGGAGCCTTTATTAATTGAAAGTAACAACCGAGTAAATGGTGTACTTCCTGCACATTGTCCAGTGTTTTCTTTCACAATTGACAAGCCAGCAAAATATTTTCTTATAGAGCTAATGACACGATAGTATTCTAAAAAAGATACATTCAATTGATACCTTTCATTAAAATCAACCAGAGACAGATAACTGCCATTTACATCAACAAGATCACAAATTTGATAGATGCCCCTTTGAAACCACCCTTCATAAAATATAGTTTTCTTATCAATAACAATATTGCTATTATAAACTATATCATCAGACAAGAAATCTTCAAAATTATCAGGTTTAATTTTACTTCTAAAATTAAAAAAAAGCATTGAAACAATCAATCCAGAAGGGGTTTTTCAGATTTCTGACAATTGTTTTCAAAATTGTTTTGCCATGCTTATCAAATTCACTACATTTACAATAACTAGCATTTAAAATATATTTCCACTTAGGATCTTTTGTAACTAGTTTTCTCATCCAAGTAACCTTCAAAGCTTTGACATATTCAAATATACTAGGCACATAAAGAAACTGTGCATACAAAAATTTCAAATCTAAATTGATCAAACCTGTGTAGACACATAAGGATTTAAACTCAGAGATTAGTGACATGTATCCAACATGCATGCACGTGCCACGTTCCGTGACGTCAGTGGGTTCATCCTTAAGACGTGCAATACGTTGTTGCACGTGCATTCCGGGAAAGAGAAACAGAGCAAATGAATGCCACACAATACTGTCACTTTGGAAAGCTTAACCCCTGCCCTTGCGATCGTTCAAAAAATCAAACGGCTATTGAAACGCATAGCATGCCAAGGCTCACGTCTGCACAACGTCATGAGGCCATTGGGATGGTCCGTGGGGGAATGTCTCAACGAAAAGTGGCTGCACATTTCCACTGCCACCGGAACACCATTTCTGCACTGGTGAGACGCTACCAGAACACAAATGACGTCATCGATCGGCCACGTTCTGGACGTTCACGTGTAACAACGCCAAGACAGGACATATGGATAAGGGTGACCCATCTTCGCCACAGGTTTCAGACTGCAGTGATGACTGCCAGAACCATCCCCGGACTTCGCCGTATCCACCCCAACACAGTTCGACAACGTTTACGTCATCACGGGATCAGACCACGACGTCCCGCCATACGGCCTATCCTGACACAACGTCATCGACAAGCTCGCCGAATGTGGTGCCGAAATCATGTCCGCAGACCCTTGTTTTGGTGGAGAAATGTTGTTTTTTACAGATGAGTCCAGGTTTAACATTTCCCATAGTGATGGACGTCAACGTGACTATAGACGCGTGGGACAACGTTATGCACAGGCCTGTGTCTTGGGAGAGGAATCGCTTTGGTGGTGGTTCCGTGATGATTTGGGGTGGAAATAACAGCACGCCAAAGAACTCCTTTGGTGATTGTTCAGGGCAACTTAACTGGTGTGGGCTACAGGGATCAGATTCTTCGACCTGTGGCAATTCCTTTTCTGCAACGTCATGGCCCTGGGTTAACATTCCAACAGGACAATGCCCGCCCTCATACGGCAAGGGTTGCTATGGATTTCTTGCAACACCACAACGTTGACTTACTGCCTTGGCCTGCAAATTCACCGGATTTCTCCCCGATAGAGCATATTTGTGACGAGATGGATCGACGTCTACGCTGTCTTCCTCATCCGCCAGATAACGTCCTTGACCTTGCAACAGAACTTGAGAGAATCTGGCGTGACATCCCACAAGCCTTCCTTGCACGTTTGATAGGCTCTATGCGTCGTCGATACACTGCTGTTCTCAATGCCGATGGTGGACATACCCGTTATTGAGCTTGTGACATGGTCGTTTGACCCCTGTCCCGCTTGTGGACTCGTGACGTCATTGTGACTTTTCAATTGAAATTCTCCCGACTTGTTATGGTCTCATGATCCCTCTATTAAAGTTTATATGTACCTTTGACATTGTTATCGTACTTATCAACTGGGATAATATATTTTGACAATGCACAGTTTCTTTATGTGGCTAGTATATATTAATCATACCCAATCCACCCTCCTTAACTGGTCTATATATTGTTTCTCTCTTTATTCTGTCAGGTTTTTGATTCCATACAAAATTAAATAACATTTTGTTAAGTTCCTTAAGAAAAACACCAGGAGGATTAGGTAGAGTTAGAAAAAGATAATTAAGTTTAGAAATAAGTAACGATTTGATCAAAGCAATCTTTCCAAGTGGGGTTAAGATTCTGTTTATCCACTTATTCATCAGCTGTTTTAATTCAAAAAAGTTTTGAGCTAAAATTCACCTGAACAATATCTGAAATATTTGTGCTAAGAGTAACACCTAAAACCTTGAATGTTGAGGGGTTCGATTGGAGTTTTAAATGAGATAAATATCTTTTTGTACTGTTTTTCATACTGCCAATCCATATCACCTGGGATTTATCATAATTAATCTTCAAACCTGACATACTAGCAAAGATATCCAGCGATTCAACAACAGCTGCAAGGGAACTTTCGCTCCCGTCAAGAAGAAAATCAGTATCATCTGCATACTGTGAAATTAAATACTCTGTATCGCTTACATGTATGCCTTATATATCCTTGTTTTTACACACCATACCTGCCAATATCTCCACACACACCAAAAATATATACGGCGACAAGGGGTCTCCCTGCCTACAGCCCCTTAGAACTTCAAAGGAGGAGGACATTTTGCCATTCATAGTAATACAAGATTTAATATCCTTATAAAAACCTTCAATCCATCTTCTTATGACAGGTCCAAAACCAAAAAAAGATAATGTTTTCTGTATAAATGTATGAGACAGAATCAAATGCTTTAGCAAAATCAACTCTTAATAACATACCTGGAATACTAGTATTTTGCGATTCTGTAAAAACTAAAGTGTCATAAACAATTCTTATGCTATCACCAATATATCTATTGGACATAAAGCCAGATTGGTCATTATTAATTAGAATTGGGAGGACCTTTTTAAGCCTTTCTGCAATACAAGAAGAAGCCATTTAGTAAACTACAATAAGCAAGGAAGTGGGCCTCCAGTTTGTAAGAAAACGCTTAGGTTTATCACCCTTAGGAATACAAGTAATGACACCTAACTTTTGTGTAATGGATAACTCCCCAATGTCGATAGCACTATTGATTGACCGCTACACAAAATAACCCAAATCAATCCAAAACATTTTGAAGAATTCTGTAACGGGACTTTTGTTGTTTTTCATACTTTTCAGTGACTTCAATAATTCGTCGTAAGTAATGTAACCTTTTAGAGAATCCGAAACAGCTTTATCCAAGATAGGCAAATCCTCACTTAAGGCATCACAGATGTCTAAATTAGACTGAGAGACCTTGTGGCATGAATAAAGATTCTTATAAAAAGACTTTGCTTCTTCAAGAATATCACTATAATAATAATAAATAATAATAATAATAATAATAGTGCATTTATATAGCGCTATTTCCAAACATAAGAATGCTCAAAGCGCACAAACATGGTTTGATATTA